CGACATTGACTAAAAACTATTTTAGTGATTGCACCAGTCTGTATACCCCATCAATTTCATGCCATTTCTGAACATAAATAGTATCGCTGTTCTTGCTCAATCCTCACTTTGTCGATTGGCACAGCATTGTTTAGATTACTGCTTTGTAATTCCAGTTGCTTGATGTATGTCACTCAGTTGGGGTTGTTGAGCATATATATATATATATATATAAAACACAATCCACCTGTCCTAGCCACTATGTTTATGTCACATTATATATTTTTTGATCTTCAACCTCCTAACCTTCTAATGCCAAGGACGAGTTATGGAACCTCATCTATCCGGTTGAGATTGTGTATGTATATAGCTAATTCTGTTTATATTTTACTATGGATTGCACCTCTCAAAACGAATTGCATTTGTGCACTTCCTACTAATGCCTAGGATGAGTGATAGAACCTCGTCTATCTGGTTGAGGTTGCATATGTACATAGCTAATTCTGTTTATATTTACTATGAATTGCACCTCTCAGAATGAATTTGCATTTGTACACATCCTCCTAATTCCTAGGATGAGTGATGGAACCTTTTCTGTCCTGTTGATGTTGTGTATGTACTTAGCTAATTCTGTTTATATTTTAATATGAATTGCATTTCTCACTATAAATTGCATTTACGCACATCCTTCTAATGCCAAGGACAAGTTATAGAACCTCCTCTGTCTGGTTGAGTTTGTATATGTGCATAGCTAATTCTGTTTATATTTTACTATGGATTGCACCTCTCAGAATGAATTACACTTGTGCAAATCCTTTTTTTTTTCACCTGTATCAGATTCATTTCCTACTTCATGGACAAAGAGCATATCTGTTCCAGAAGTAGTGCATACCCCAAAAGTGTGCTTTGTTTTCATCTCGGAGCACACCCGTTCATTTGGGGAGGCTGCTTTTTGCTTGATTTCTGTGGTGTGCACCTAAACTGCCTTTGCAATGTGGTATTCTAGCTTTTTGTGAAAGAAGGTAAGATCGTATTGGAAGGTGACATTTTTCTTACACTGAAAATGTATTTCAGTTAGGAACTTACCTCCTTTCACACACTTCCTCCCCATAGTTTGGGTTGAGCAGGAATTGCAGAGTGAGCTAGCTGTGCCAATATAAGTGGCACAATACTATTGGTGGAGAATAATTACATAATTTGAACATGTTCAGAAATGGCATGAAATAGATGGTGTACATAGACTGGTGCTCTGATTGTGGAAATTTTTTAGCTGTGCTTGGCAGATGAAGATTGAGATAGCTGTGAGTGAGGGAAGGTAAGTACCTATCGGAAATACATTTTCAGTGTAAGAAGGATGCTAACTTCAGAATGTTCCAAAATGTATTTGTAAATCAGTTTTTTTATAGACAAGTAGAAAGGTTGAGATGTTTCTTTTGTCTTTGCATATATATTTAAAAGTTTATTTGCAAAATTTCTTCAAGTGTATTTTTAATTTAGTAACAATATGTTCGTGATATTACATCAAAGTACAATAAAAGGTTTGAGTTGTTGCTATTGTCTTTATTTACATTGTTTAAAATTTTATAGATGCAAAATTTCTTCAGATGTATATGAAATTCAGTAATAATATGTGTTTGTGATATCATGTCACAGTATGACTCATAATAATTCATAATACATATCCTCAGCAACTAAATACTAAATGGACCAGTAAGGAAAGATGTTATTCATTTTATTAATCTTATTCTTAAATGTTATACATGGCAGCTAAAACTTTCTACAATGTAAACTTTGTTATACATGAAATTGTGTAATAGTAGTAAATATTATTAGAAACATTTAGAATATTGTTCTTTTAATACATATTTCATTTGAAGTTACTTCAGATGCATTTGTAAAGACCTGATAATATTTAACAACATTTAAAGGCTATGAAAATTACTCTGTGTTTGCTTAAGTGTCTATAAAGTGAATTATCATTTTTGTACAATTTTCATTAGGCCTAGCTACATTGTCCCTTCTTCTGTGGCATATGGGATTAAAATGGTGTTTCCTGTATTTAGAGGCTATGGGCAACAGGTAAATTAATTTCATTGCATCTTTATCTATAATAATCTACTTTAGTTATTGTTTTTTTATATTATTTACAGTCTCATACAAACAAGTTAAAAGATGATTAACCCTTTGTAAAATACAATTTAATTGTTAAGTATTTATTTTCAAAACTATGGAATACTTTTCACATGCTAAACATAATTATGTTAGTGTTCATTTAATTCTTGTTTTATAAAAATAATTTATAGATACATGAAATAGATATACAGTAATAACACGCCATATTACATTGTTACAATTCATAAAAACATGTAAACCCACTATAATAATATGTCACACTGTATCGTAATATTGACTCATGACAATAGTGCCTTCAAAGTAATATATTCCCTTCTTTGTGTGACATGGACCTTTAGTGACAATATGTCACTCTCCCGTGTATGATAGTCACACCAATGCACAATATGGATCTATAGTAATAATGTCACACTCCAATATATGATGTGGACCTGTGGTAATCATGCCACACTCCAATGCATGGTATGGACCTATGGTAATAATGTCACACTCCAATATATGATGTGGACCTGTGGTAATCATGCCACACTCCAATGCATGGTATGGACCTATGGTAATAATGTCGCACTGCAATGCATGATGTGGACATATGGTAATAATGTTACTCTTAACCCTTTGGTTGCCAAGTGTTACAAATCATAGCATGTGGCATCTCTATCATTTTATTTCATTGCAAAAATAAAATTAGGGGATAAAATTGTTTGAGATTTCACAAGATTATTCCAAAAACTATGTAGTTTCAGAAAAGTAAAATATTTAATATATTCTACTATTGGTAATAAAAATTTCGTTTTTTAATGTAGTTATTTGCACTTCCGTTCTGAATAGTTCAAGTTCAGGGTGATTTTTACATGAAGTATAAAAATAATATTTTTAATCTCACAGTTTTCATATTTTATTTGCATAATCTCTAGAACCTCATAAATGAATATCAAAAGTTTTTTTTTGGTAAATGTATGTGGCTGAACATTTGTATGTGTTCTCATTTAATAGTTTAGATGTCAAGGAATTTTACAAAAAAAAATTACTGCAATACAATGTACAGAAGCAATTAATTAGAATCCATTATAAAACTCATGCAAGATTTGCACATCTCTGGTTTCTCTCATTTGATAAAGAAACTGTTTCATGTATTCATGTACAGTATTTTTAAAGTGTGTATTATTTAGATTACAACTTCATAATGTTTTATAGGATGCCCAAGAATTTTTACGATGTGTAATGGATCAGCTTCACGAGGAATTAAAAGAACCCACTTTTGAAGTAGATAGCAATGTTTCTTCTGATTGCAATGATGATTATGATAGCTGCCAAGGAGAAGGACCGTTTGGTCGTCTAGAAGATTCAAGCCAGTCAGAAGCTGAGTTTGAAACCTGTGATTCAGGACTGAGCAGTGAGAAGAGTTCATGTAATGATGAAAGTCCAGAGGCACGAGACTTTGTTGTTGCAGAGGAAGATGTGAAAGGGATACCCTCTGGAGTTGATTATAATGGAGCAAGTTTACAACAGGTTCAACTGTCACTTAATTTTCAACCAACCAGTGACCAAAGAGATCAACAAGAAAACAACAGAGAAGGAAATGAAACTGCCAGTGTTTCTCAGCAGGTCTCAACCCCAGAAGAAAAACGTAGCTTAGGAGCTGGTGACTGGGATCGAGAAACCCCATCCACAGAAACAGCAGAAGGACACTTCTTTCAGGAAAAAAAGCCTCCACCCATAAGTCAGAGAAGCAATCGTTCATCAGAGCAGAGAAGACAAAGCAATCAAGGAATCTACTTGGGAAAATTACAGACAGGAGCTGGAACTCGAAGTCATGGACAGTATGGTCAGAGAGAGAGGCTTTCTCCACCACCTCAGGGATATAGCTATGGCAGTAAACCTCCTGGAAAGAGAAAAAAATCTGTAATTTATCGCAGTGTTATCTCAGATATTTTTGATGGGAAAATCCTGAGTTCGGTACAGTGTCTTACATGTGATACGGTTAGTATTACTTATTGTTGTTTAGAATTTAGCATAGAGTGATGTAAAATTTTGTCTCTGATACCAGTGAAAATGAAACAGTCCATAATTACTCTGTAACTTCATAGTAACATATATCATGTCAACTGAATATGATGTGTTTGTAAATTGAACATATTCACATGCAGCTTTGTATACATACATAGTGGAAATAGTTATGGAAACATATTCACAAGTTTTAGATTAAAATTACTGTATCATCAATTATATAGAGATAACAATGCCCATTCATTTGTTTGACCTTCTAAAACCTATTATATGAAATACTCTTTGATAAATCTACAGATTTGCTAAAATTGAAGAATAAAAACAATGACACATTGTTCCAGAAATAAACAGTCACAACTCAGTTTACTAAAAAATAGCATGCTTGTAAAGTACATCAAATTAGCTCTAAACTTCACTATTAATTTTTGTGCGAAGTGAGAGTGCATATAGGTTTACATTATTGTTTCATTATCCCAGTGCATGCACTTGATTAATATCACCATTGTGTTATTTGAATGTTCATCTAATGTCATAAACACTTGTTCAGTAGTAACTAATGTTCAATTAAAGATGCATGTGAGACAGTTGAGTTTGTTTTTAGTATACTGGTGATACTCAAGTTGTATACTAAATTTCACTGTTTATTAACATTTTTGGAATTTAATTAGCTAAAGAGAAAAATATGTTTTTAGGAGGTTGCTGCAGTTCATTCACATCAAAACTTCAAAATATATTTAAGAAGTGTTTGAGAATTCTTACAAATACACTAGGTACCCAGTTTTTGTATTCTAACCGTTGACATTAAAATTCCTGATGAAGGTGTTAGTCAAAACAATGGTAACTAAGAAACAGTTTTTCTAGAGCATAACTTATTTTTACCCATAAGGGCAAAGATAAACATCACATAAACTAAGCATTAAAAGAATGATACAACTTACTGTGATATGAATATTATTAAAACTTGAAATAGTTATTGCCTTGCATGAAGATATTTTGTGCTTTTCTGTTAATCCTGTAAGAGAGACTAAAATTCAATTGTAATGATAAAGAACAAAATGACAGTTGATCATCAATTAAAACTGAATATTTTTTAAACTAGAGATTGGCCATAGCCTGTCAAATATTAATGATGAACACTTATTAAACAATTTACTATAAATGTGTATTACTTAAATTTTGAGATCACATCAAGGGGATAGAAAACTTACTTTCCAACTATGATCATAATATGCATATTTATGTTGTATCAGAGTTTGACTGTATATGTAACATACATAACATATTGTTTTTGTGTATACAGCAGTGCTTACAGTAAAGCAAAATACTCATACACAGTGTAAGAAACTCAACCCCATAAATTAGTCATCAGCATAAAAGATTTTAGCCCCTAAAACAATACTTACCAAATTGAATTGCTGATCATCATTATTATACATTGCAAACTTGACCAAAATATAACTTTGTAAGAAATAAAAAAGCATTATTTTTCCCATTCTGATATCCATTGTACAGGGATTGATCTGAGAGATTTAAAATTTGCAGACTTAATTTTATTTGCTTGTTCATTCTTTTTTTAAGCATCCATCACAAGTCCTTGCAACATTGTCTTTCATGCCTAACAGTAATACTTTCTATTGGTATAACCAGCCACAGTTTTCCTTTTATCAGCTGTCATCGCTAAACAAACAAAATGTTACATCTAACATGAGTTAATTTTAAAAAGCATTCACTGTTTATGTCAGCATTAAATTAGAACCTTAATGTTTGAATAAAAAGAACACAAAAATATTGTCATGAAAAATTTCACAAAGTAAATCAGTTTTTTTTTTTAAATTTAATTTATTGAATAACGTTAACACTATTAAAAACGTTTTGGTATATATGACTGCCTGACCATATTACGTCAGTGATATATAAAGTATCCTTCAACTTCCACACAGATTTTCCTGGTCACATTACTCTATGCTTCAGTGGCATTTGCTGTAGAATATAGAATAGGTTCGGATGAATCTTATATACAACAGTTTTATAATATTATGCTGAGCTTTAGCACATTCACTTAGAATGAATTTCTTAAGGAAATGAAAGAACATTGTGCAATAATGACACATGTTTGTAAGTTGCATCAGTTTTGTATTGTTTGCATCTACGAAGCAAATTTTTGTGTTATGTATACAAATGTTGATTCATACAGTCTTAACAAGCAACAAATCCCATACAATCAGCATAAAAGTACTGTATTCTTGAGAGCAAGAAGTATTTAATGTCATAAACACATACATTGGTATAGTCAAAACACATGACTCTGAATGTGTTTTCCATACTTCACCTTTATTTTACAACCACCAATGGATCTAGTTCATTATAGAGTACAGTGAACAACTTATGATGTGTTGTCATAAAAAGTGAGTTCTTATTCATAGGAGATTGCATGCACAAGACTTGATGTCGTTTAAAGTGTAACATGTAACAATAACTTTTTGAAAAGAACTTCACAGAATATATTTACTGTTTTGTTTTTTTTCATATTGATCCCCTACTAAAATTCTAAAACATTAAATGACTTATTGATACATTGACTACTGTTAATAACAAAGATGGATTTGGATAGACTGTATATTAAACCATAATGAAAGAAAAACTAATAAAAAATAAGACAATCCACCAACTTGTTAAACAATCATTTTCAGTGCAAAAAAAAAGCAAAACAAAAACCCAAAACAAATGACATATCAAAAATTTCATAATACATGCACTTTAATACCATGTGACACATGGATCAATTACTATATTATACAAATTTCATAATACATACACTTTAATACCATGTGACACATGGATCAATTACTATATTATACAAATTTCATAATACATACACTTTAATACCACGTAACACATGAATCAATTACTGCATTATACAAATTTCATAATATATACACTTCAATGCCACGTAACACATGGATCAAGTACTGCATTATACAAATTTCATAATACATACACTTTAACACCACGCGACACATGGATCAATTACTGCAT